AATCTTATTACAAACTGGGTTTATGTCATAATTCAAACCAATTTTGTGATTGGTTTCGGTTCAATCGATAAAACCAACCTATTCGGTTTGGATTTTAAAATAGTGATCATAACTATAGAATGTTGATGTTAGGTAAAATTGTTATTGGCACCTTGTATAGAGTTTGAGATTGTTTTGTGGACCATGAAGCCTACTAAAACCCTTTGTATTATTGTGCCTCAAATACACATGCATTGATCAATTACTTTAATTAGGTCAACTTTGCTCCATTTTTCTCTCTTTTGCCATGACTTAAATAAAGTTTTGTTTTGTTTGGTTGCATCTTAAATGGTTTAGGTCACCAACATATATTGAGAAGATTATTGGCACCTTGCATAGAGTTTGGGATTGTTTTGTGGACTATGAAGCCTACTAAAACCCTTTATATTATTGTGCCTCAAATACACATGCATTAATCAATTACTTTAATTAAGTCAACTTTGCTCCATTTTCTCTCTTTTGCCATAACTTAAATAAAGTCTTGTTTTGTTTGATTGCATCTTAATGGTTTAGGTCACCAGCATATACTGGGAAGATTCACTTCACCAAGTCCATTTCCAATACTCACTTTCGCTTTATTTATTTATATTTTATTTATTTATTAATTATTGCCATCTTTTATTAATAACAAGGGCTAATCCGCCACAACCTCTGGAGTAGAAGGGCTAAATTGCACTATATCCCTTGTTTGTAATATAGACATCCAATCGTGACTTACAACAATGATGTGGACAACAAAGAGCAACAACCTAGATCCACAACTTGGATATGGACAACAAAGACCAAGACCCTAAACATGGGGTGCGATACACCGGCAAAAACCCCCTTACTTTGCCCTTCAATTTTTTGGGTATGAGGGATTTTACCCTTCATCTTACAATTTATGAATTTTTACCCTTCAATCCTTCAAGTTTAAGATAATAAGGCAATATTTAATATCACACGGTCATGTGCAACACATGATCGTTAGTCCTCCATTACCCATGCCACGTTAGCACCATATAAGTGCCATGTCAGCATCGCATGAGCACTCGTTGTACATATTGACACTGCAAGCTTGGAAGACAAAAACCCATGTTTTGCCCTTCACTTTATTGACCTTAAGGGTTTTTACCCCTCAGCTTACATGTATGAAAAATTTTGCCCTTCAACTTATTGATTTGAGCAAATCATGCAAAATTTAATGTTCAATGGTCATGTGTAGTACTTTGGCTTTAGAGCTTCACATAACAACATGTCAACGTGACATGGGATCATTTCTACATGCTAGCAATGCCAACTTGGACCCACATCTATTTTCAATGTGAGTTCAATGCATTTTCAATTTTTTTAATAAAAAATGAAGCTACCATTCTTCTTCCTCTTAACCATTCTACCCCCATCATCTTCCCAACTTTCCATTTTGAACTTTCTCTCTAAATTAAACAAATTGATGGAAAATGGAATCCAAAGGTGAGGATGACTAAAGTAAGGGGCAAAAAACAAGAATTAATTTATTTAATTGAAATTAATCAATTTAAAAATAATTTATTATTTGATAATAAAGTTAATTAAAATTTTTAATAATTATTTTAAAATAATATAATTTATTTAAGTATAATTCGTCTCATAGTGTCTTATAGTGTCTTATTGTTTTTTTGTTAAAAGAAAATGTGATTGCAATAGGTCCACGGTAAAAATGGATGAGTGAGTCTAAGTTTTTTTTTGTACAGCAAATAGAGTTTATTAGATAAAGTACCAGGGGTACTCCTACCCATAATCCAAAAACAGGTACACTACTGAGCATCTATTGACTCTACCTTAAATCCAAGTAGAGTCAATTAGTTGCTCAATGCAACCTATCAGATTACATTCAGGGGGTTCCATCAATACCCTCTTGATAATAAGGCTAATCCATCCAAACTTAGGACAAGACTCTATTTCCTATCGTGGTTAACTTTAAGACATGTCATAGGATTGGTTAACCAATCAAAGCGATTGAACAAGCATCTAGATTTCCTTGTCTTAATCCACAAAAAAGATTTCAGCTGAATGTGATCAAGTAACTTACTTTTGTTGACGTCGAAATCTCGGAATATCTTCTGGTTTCTTGCGAGCCATATGGACCACACCACAATGTTCCAGATACAATCCCAACCTTCCTTTACATGTGATTCCTTAGCCCATGTGGTAGCTTTAAGGCTAACATGCTACATGTGTGGGTCTAAGTTGGAATTGCTAGTGTGTAAAAATGACCCCATGTGGTAGCTTTAAGGCCAACTTGCTACATGTGAGTATTGAACTTTAAATTTTACCTCATTTGCTCAAATTAATAAAGTAAAAGGACAAAAATCCATACATTATGAATTGAAGGGCAAAAACCCTCAAAGTCAGTAAAGTGAAGGAGAAAAGATGAGTTTTTGTCTTCCAAACTAGTAGTGCCAATGTGTAAAATAGGTATCCATATGGCATTGATGTGGTGCTTACGTGGTGTTGACATGGCATGGGTAATAGAGGACTAACAGTCATGTGTTGTATGTGACCATGTGACGTTAATCATTGCCTTATTATCCTAAACTCAAAAAATTAAAGGGCAAAAACTAATAAATTATAAAACGAAGGGTAAAATCCCTTACACTCAAAAAGTTAAAGGGCAAAGTGACGGTTTTTGTCATACATCTCATAATGTTAAGATTACACATTAATAATTTTTAAAATATTAATTTTATAAAGATAAAAAAAATATTAATTTTATATAATTTAATTATTAAAAGTAGTCAACAACTAATATTTATTATTTAATAAATTAAAATTAACTTATAAGCAAATATTTTTAGATTTTATAATCAATTATCTAAAAAAAATTATAAACAAATAAAGACTTTGTTTGTCAGAGCTTATGACAGATTTTTTCACAAAGAACCTATTTAAAAATGTAAATTTTTAATTTTTAATTAATTTAAATTAATTTGTTATATACTTTTACTAATTTTAATTAATATTTTATATATTTTTAGATAGTAAAATATAGAAAAAACCTACTATTACAACACAGTGAAACACAGTGAAACACAGCACAACACTACTAAAGTAAGCCAAAATATCAGTTAAACTAAACAAAATTTATGTGATCTTAACAAAATGATGTATGGTGATAACCACACCCTCAATGATGTTATTCAATGGCCAAGTTTCCAATTTTTTGTTCTTTTTTCTTCGGTGCATATAATTTATCATTTATGAAATCATATTCACTTTTAAGGAATGGATGTACGTAATCTCAGCCTCAGCATTGTTCCTTGTTTTCTTTACACCTTCATTTGAAGTTTGAAGTTTCATTTGTAATATCCTATAGCATTTGCACAAATATTACGAAGGATAAGGAGCTTGAGCTTGACTAGTAATTTCAAGGGTGTGTTATTGTTATTATTATTTTTTTTTTTGAACATGCGTTATTGTTATTATTAATATTGTTAAAGTCATCAAAATTTTAGTTTTTTTTCCTTAATAATAGTGTTTAAAAATATTAGTTTATTACTTAATTTTAATTAATTAATAAATATCAACAGTTCAATTAGTTATTAATTATTTTTATCAATTAAATTAAATAAAATTAATATTATTCAAAATAATATTTTATAATTTTAATAATCAAAATATTATTATGTGTTTATCTATCATGTGCAGCATTGGATAAGAAATAATCATTGGTTAATAATTATCACTTTTTTCTTAAAAGATGTTAGATTTTAAATTAAAAAAATAAATTTTGATTTTAATTTCAAAATGAACGAAAATAAAGTCAATACGTGACATTTATAATTAAAATAAAAATTAACTTTACTATTTTCAAGATAAAAAACTATAATAATTACATAATTATTATTTTTTATCATGTAAAAACACAAAATAAATAAACCCTATTATTATTGATGGATATAACAATACCTCAATTTCAACTATGCAATTTTTTCTTGGGCAGAGAGAAAAACGCAAATAACTTGTCAAGCCTGTTTATTAACACTTCTGTTTTTTTTATATTGAACAAGAAAACAAATAATAAACGAAATTTCGTTTTTTGCACTTTGCTTTTTGCCCTCTACTTTTATGGCCAAAAGCATAACAATATTTAATATTTAATTTTGAGGGGAGCTTATTTATATATAAATTTTATATATTATATTTATATAAAATTTTAATTATTATTTTTTTAATAATTAATATTTATTATGATTTTTAAGTAAAATAATAATTATTTTTAATAAATATGAATAAATTTTAATTATTAAAAGTAGATAAATAAATTATTAAAATTTTATATAAATGTAACAAAAAAAGACTTTTAATCTCTCCTCCTTAATCATAACTTGTTAGTACTATAACTTTTATTTTCTTTAAAAATATACCAATAAATAGGTTTTCACAACAAATTTCCAAGATTTTGGAAACTAGTTGTAAAATTAAAAAAAAAAAAAAAAAGAAGGGAGGCAAGTACTAAAATTTTATATCTATATTTTTAACAATTATAACTATTAATTAAAAATAAGTCTCTTAATATTAATTATAAAATATGTAATTCATACCCAAGACATTATAAAATTGTGAACTCTCATTTTGATACCTATGAAAATATTGTTCGTATTATAAACAGCGAAGACCATGAGTTACAACATTGATGTGGATGGCAATGAGCAAAGACCTTGACTTACAACTTGGTTATGAACCACAAAAACGAAGGCCCTAAACATGTGTAAGTGATTCAGTTGCCAAGTCTTTTTTTTTTTTGGCTTTTCCTCCATGCATATATATAATTGATCATTTGTGAAATTTTATTTACATTAGTTTCTGCGCCCCAGCCAATGAACGAATACTCATGTATATGCAATAATGTATGGGGACGTTGGTATTAATATTTAAATGGAAAATGACTTTGATACCATTTTTTGGTATAATCTAATGTGTCATTTAAATGATTAATTTTTTTATTTATGTGAGACTTGTGATATTACATGCATTCACTCATTTAATGACATGTGAAAATTGTATCAAAAGATGGTATAAAAAAAGTTGTCCCTATAGTACCACCATATTTAAATAAAGGTAATTGATAATTGATATCTATAATTAATTATTATTAAAGTATATAATTTTAAATTTTTAATCTGTTTTATTAGAAAAAAATAGTTGAAAATGATTTTTAAATTGGCAATGTATACATTTTTAATAAAAATTATGTTAGCTGAGATGGTATTTAGAGTTATTGGGCTTTGATTTTCATTATATATTCTCAAGATAAATTAGACTTGGTGATTTCATCCATTGGAATATAGTTTTATTAAATGTTGTTTTTAGCACTTTGAGTTTCAAATTTCTTTTTAAGGATGTCCATTTAATTTTTTTTTTAAGGATTAATTAGATAGTAAAGTTGATGTGTTAAATGAATTTTTTAACCAATATACTAACATGTATAGATACATTCTTAATAATTTACTAATATGTTTTACTGATTAGATTAAAAAATAAAAAAATACAAATCAGATTAGTGGGGCACATTTATTCACTTTAATTCAAATTTTATAATCTTTTAATTTCAATTCTCCCGAAATTACTTCTTTTTTTTTTTTCTCTGCACCGCTGCTCTTTCTCTTCTTCTTCCTCGTTTTAATCCCAAATCTGGTTTGAAATCATGAACGGAAAACAGATCTCATGGGTTCAGCAACAAAAATGTCGAGTTTCAGTTCATATCCTTTGTGCCTTCCAGTAGTAGATCTAATTGGATTCCTATGACCAAAGCTGTATGTGACTACAGGATGATGTCTTCAAGCTCTGCTAATCCTTGGAGAAGATACATAGCCTGCTCTATTTTTTATAAATGGAAAATTAATATGTTTAATTTTCTGTTGGTGGGTTATTTTCTCCATTTTTTGAATCTGGGTAGTAAAAAATGGAAAAACAACTAGTGGGTCGGTTATAAATATATATAAAGAGTTAAAATATGAATGGAAAGAATTTAATTCCTTTAAGTAAAATTTCGAGTTCGAGTTTTGTGAATAGAGAAACAGATGTTGGAAAATCTTTCTCCTAAGTGAGATTTGATGCGACTCGATTCCGAATTAATTAAGATCTAATGTAATTATCGGATACCAAAGGTTAATACCAATAAAGAAATTTTACGTGAAAAGACGAAAAGCCCAAGGCCATGTGCTTTGGTTACTTGGACCTTGCTAGTTTGGCCCCAAGACCATGTGGTTTTGTCTTTTCAGAGCACGTTTGACAAACAACCAAAAATTGGAATTTTCGAACATGGCGAAATTATTATATTTTTTAATTATTAATTTATACAAAAAAATAAAAACGAATTTCAATTTGATTAATTACTTAATTAAATTGTTTCAAGCGAAATTAATATTAAAAATAAAATTTATTTTTATAGTTTTTTATATAAATTAATAATAAATATATATAATATATTTTTGTAAATTGTATTAAAAAAACACAAGTTAAAAAGAACCTTATAAAATAAAGTGCCATTGCCCTAGTTTATTTTACTTATCATATTTTTGCTCCAGTTATTATAAAAAGATTACAATAATTTATAAAAAATTCACTTATTACTAATTAAAAAAAATTTCCCTTAGGAATGTTGAGAGGCATTAGAGTTATTATTAAAATGGAAAAAACTAGAAAAGAAAACTTCAAAGGTATGTTTAAAATAGAAATTGACAAATAAATTTGAATACTTCTTGCGGATTTCCAAGTTGATCTATAGAAAAAAAGGTACAAAAATACATATGAAAAAACTTAAATACTATGAAAGAATCAACACATATGATTCATTAAGGGTATTTAAATAATTTGAGAGACATTCCTGCATTTTTTTTCTTTATGTTCCTTTAGAAAGTGTGACAAAAAAAGGACTACAGATAGGAGTAATTAGCAGGCACGAAAAAGTTGCAATCAATAGCTTTTTCTAAACTTGCTAATTAACACTTCCATTGCCAAAATAGCAGCTTCTAGTTTAATAATTTTTATGTAAAATCAGAGAAGAACATGAAGGGCCTGACTCATCCCATAAACAATTAGGTTTCTTACAAATTAGTTGCAACATTAGGTTCTGAAAGCTAACAACTGGTACCTAACAAGACGAGCCGGTCTCCACATCTAACTAAAAAATGACCCAATAACATGCACTATAGTTTTTCATTTTGAAAACCTAAAGATTAATGGTCATCCGAGCCAGATTAGAACCGCTTCCTCACGCATTTTCTCTTGGATATTCTCATAATTGAAAGAATCATACATGTCACAGTAGGATTTGTTTCTCATGCAATCTGATTAGCAAAAGGGAAAACTGTCCAAACAAGACGGGAAACAGAAAAACAATTACCTTCCTACTCCTCATGTACCAGAAACTTCACCCCTGTGATCATCAGTGTAAACTTAATCATAATTGACATAAAACAAGTCATTTCTTAAGCTTCCTTCGTATGCACAAGGGGCTTTGGTAAATAGTCACCATGATTCTTGTTTTGAATCCAACAGTCATGTATCATGAATCAAACTCCAGAAATCACTATGGGCTTCCTCAAATATCTGTCTAAATCTGTCACGACCTGGCATCAGAGCATCAAATATATATGATGGTGAAGTTCATAATTAATTTGTATAGAGTCTGCACAATGACTACAATAGAAGTCTTTCTAATTATACATGTGGTATGGCACAAAAACAATTAGAGATCAAGAAAACAATAATCAGCAATTATGGAGATAATGCAAGCAAGTGTGATCTTAGAACATAAAAGATAGCATACCAGCATGATTGAGCAGTTTCTTAACACAGGTGGATAACCGTCAGTGCTCCAGAAGTTTGATCTTTTCAACACAGTTCTGCATGTGCTGAGTAACATCAGCAGAGAGGCGTGCCCCCATCCTAAGCTTGTATTGCTCAAATTTCAACTCATCACACTTCAAGGCAGCTTTCTTGCATGCCTTTATATTTCCTGGTATAAAGAAGAAAAACATCAATAATTTTCACACATTTTAACAATGTAGTACCAAATGCAGCAGATTTAAATAAGAATGGACATCACTTGATTCAAATCTCTTGTTAAACTTAACCAAAAGGAAACAAAGGAGCAGGTGTTAGGGTGAAAGGTGCTGCAGACTACACAATTCGAAGATTGAGGTTCTGCAGTAAAATCATGTCTAAATTAGATAATTCATAACTTCATGAGAAATCTTCTCATTTTTTAACAAAAAGAATCATCACATTTAACGATCCCTTGACATTGCTAAAAACAAGCACTTTGTTTTTATAAAGTTCTTCTCCCCGAGCAAAGCAGTGACAAAGTTAAAAGCTAAGAGAAAAAAGAGTTTCTATTTCTGATATGAATATGCAATGCAAATCTTTAACAACATGCCATTAGAGTTTCCTGCTTGGTTGGTTGACTTACCACTTAAGTCCAGTAAGTTAAACAAAACAGGGCAGTTTCCAATACTCCTGACCATGGTAATTGCAGACCAAACTTTTTGGTACTCCTCTCTTGAGACTCTGATAATACACAGCTTTGTAATGGGATTCACATATTTGACTACACAAACAAACAATACACATACGAACATCAAAATAGGCAAGCATAACAGATTTAAAAAGGAGGAAGACAAGTAAATAACTTGGCACATACGTTGGAACGATCCCAGTGATGATGCTAGACCACACTCCCCAAAGTTGAGAAGAATGCTGTCTTTGATTGCTTTTGACAAATTTAACTGGGTGATTATAACAGGGTCATCCCCCTGATGGTCTTTGTTTGGGTCTAAGAAAACCTCCATTACCATGTACCTATTCTTGAATCCTACCATGACCTTTTGCTTAATTTATAACACCCAATTCTGAAAAAAAAAAAAAAAAAAAAAAAAAAACTTCTGCATAAAAAAAATTTGAGACACCCCATTTCGCAACAAAAATTGAAATCGTGTTACCACTCCATAATATTATAGAATCCTACCATGACCCATTAGATCTACAAAGACAGCACGCACACATGAAAGAAAAAGAGAAAGAACAAAAAATTTCTTACCAGATCAATGAAAGCAGGGAGGAACGATGACAGAGATGGTAATCCAGCGGCGGCGATGGGAATGGAGCAGCCGCGGCGGCGGAGACAAGTATATAAACGGACGGCGGCACGCGGTAATAGGGTTTAGTTATTTTTTTATTTTCTCTTTTTTTTTTGGGCAGAAGGTGCAGATCACCCCCTAAACTCACCAACTGGTGGCAAATCAACCCCTCAACCCCAACTGGTGGCAAATCAACCCCTCAACTCACCAACTGGTGGCAAATCAGCCCCTCTCTTAACCCTTCCGTCAACAGTTAACGGTCCCCTTCCACTTTGCTTAGTTATCATTTCTGTTGGTTTTACCTCGAAGCAATTCAAGAATCCAAAGTTGGGTTCTTTTTAATTACCAAATCTTTATCTGGGTTTTTCACAATTAAGTATGGAGAATGAGTTTTTCCTTAATGCAGGAACCTCGGCGC